AAGTATTGACAAACATTATTTTAATGCATTTACCTTGAGAAGCAGACGTTTATTCAGTTACATGGTGAATACACTTACATTATTCTTTACATGCGTAAGAATTTCATTCGTATAAGACGAATTTTAATCGTTCATTGGTGTTTCGGAAAGCAACGAAAATATTCAAGTCAATTAATCGAATTAAGAAAGCGAGACGCACATGCATCCTTTTCTATTTATACTGTAGCTTTGTGGACTTCTAGCATATTATCGCTCATAAAGAAATTTCAAATTTTCAGTTTGGAATGATTTTAAAAAGTCCTTGACATATCACTTAGCCATCCATCTACCTACGATGACGCTATCTCTAATTATTGAATGTGTCGACTGATTCTGCAGGTGGCTCATCATTCACCAAATTACGTACAAAGTCATTCAAACTTAACTTTGCTGGAGGCAAAACTTTTTTTGTTGGTCCTCCTCCCCCCCCCCCCCCCCCCACACTTTCAATTTGCTTCCGACGCCTAAGGGAGATATTCCTGCTCATAATTTATGATCCTGTTCATAAGAAAAAATAGTTTACAAAATTGACTAGATACATGCATGAATACTAAAGTTTTATTTCCTTGCAACTTTAATTAAGAACTCTGTGAAAAAAAAGATAGTTAATTTATCTTCAGAGTTATTTTCTTTTCAAAGGTTTAGCCTATTTGATATCATGTCTCTTATCCCATTTAAAAAGAAAAAAAAAAACCACGTAACATTTTTCAGGTTTATCCAAAGATTTTCTTTTAAGGCAACATAATGTGCTTGGTCATACTTTTTCATATAACAACATTTAAATTTATTATTAAGTTCATGAAGAAAAGCATGTAAATATGGCTATCCTTTACAGGTCGTACTCAGTTGATAAATAATGTGAAATTAAAAATAATCATATGTATATACATACATATTTAAAAAAAAATAAATTTAAGTTAATATAGGAAAAGTTTCAAGACATTTCATAATGCTGACTTTATGATTCCATGGCGATCATTTCTTTAAAAGGAATACGCAGCTCTGTTAAGGTCAAGATCTAGTAAATGAAAGGAGCCTACAGATTTCTCAAATGTGAGAAATAAATTTCTTTAAAGATGCTTTTTAAGTATAGCTTGGTCAAATAAGGTGAATCGGGGCATATTTTGTAGGTAAACAAGACGAAAAATCATATTTTAAACTGTCTTTTTTTTGATGAAAAATTAATAAAATCAGTCATGAATATGGGAGTTTTTTCTTTATCGGACAAAGGAAATGTATCCAGATTGCCTACAGTCTCTCAGAAAACGGTAATTTGTTTGTCCATATCCTCTTCTTTAAATTAAGATCAAATTGAATATAGGTTTCGGGATTAATTTTCACATGATTTCAAATTGAATTCCATGAAAAAACTTTATTTTCTACATAATTCTATTAGAGCCCTAAAGTACGGGAAAAAGAAAGTTTAAACTGATTATGACGTCATAATGGATCTAGCACCAAAAAGACAGTCTAAAGTCATTTACTAGATCTTGACCTTAAGGCTGCATAAAGGGGGCGGGGCCTAATTTATACGGGAAAAGTTTACTGTGACATCACACAAATATAGCAATTCCTCACAATAACAGAAAATGAAATAATTTGCGAATCTAAACTGCATAAGAGTAATGAACTACATCAAAACTTACCACTGCATTCATTTTTGTCGCTAGTTAAATCCCACACAGCGAGATATAAACAAGTCACTGATCGCAATGCACTTGTCGACATGACGTCATCATTGAAAGTTTGACGCATTTCGTGTGCAGTGAGAGGCGGATCAAGTAATTTTTTCACAGTGAAAAATGCATTTTATTATTAAACAGAATATTACTTGCAAATCTTAGGTAGACCTTTAATACAAATCTGAAACGTTTGTTTAGTGCCATTATTTAAAAAATGTCGAGAGAATGTATTGAATTAATTCTACCGTGTTTTTGTCTAAAGGGTGTGCATGTTTCACGCAGAGGTGCCTCATTAAATCACCTTTTCGCAAGGGCATGCACTTAATAGATCGGGACCATTTTTTGAATACACATAACGGACATATTCCTTAACATGAAAAGTGCTGCTGCTTTCCTGAAATCGATAGCATAACTTAATAAATACATAAAATACTTGGTAAGGGTCACACATATTTCGACATTAGCCAGATAACTTGAAAGAACAAGGTTCACTTAGTGCCTTTTTTGGCCCTGTGAATTTCTGAAAAACTGAAACTGCTTAGTTTTAGTTGACAATGCATTTCATTTAGACCTTTGGCGATTGTGATTCTACCAAAAATGACATAATTTTCTGGCTAGTCAATGCATTATGACGTCATGAAATGCGTCATTTTCCTCATATCCTGAACAATTCTACAAAAACAGCCAATTTTTAAAGCTATTTTTCGATATTTAATATAGAGCACAATCTCTGATCTAAAATATGCATTTATTTACTGATAGAACTGTTTCTGAGGATTACAAGACATATTTTATTTTTTAGATCAGAGGGTGCGCTCATATTATTTTTCTTTTCTGAAGGTACTTAAATATACCTGTTTTCCTTAAGATTCAAGAACATTGCAATTCCATAAAGCTTGTTTACCAAGACCTGGACTTTAAGGAGAAAAAATTTAATAGGAAATGAAAGCACTAAGTCTCTACTTTATCTTGATGCTTGAAATGGAACATAAGGTGTTAGTCAATAAATCTGTATATCTACAGGGCCATTTTATGCATAAAGTGAACCTAGCTCTTTAAACTAATAAAATGCGAATTCTATTTAAAGCAGCAGCACTTTCCATTAACTACAAGTTATGTAGAAACAATCCATTACTTTAATTTTTCATTTTAACTATGGTATGCCCTTGCGATATTGAAAGGAGTATTCTACTTAAGTATAGTAGTGTGGTCCCTTTTTACACCCTTGGTTTACCGGTTAAATATTAGCATACGGTATTTTGATTGTTTTCATTGTGTAAAACGAAGTATTTCTAATTAAAACATTGTGTATTTATAATGAATAATTAAACATATCAAAAAGTACAAGCCTATTTTTAACACCTATCGCACTAAAAAATGCCGGAACATTTTCCCCCGATCAGACTACGGTTTCTCTATTACATGGAAATGGGCTGAGACATTTAGATTAGATACTATAAAAAGAAGATCTTGGTATGATGTTTTTCTTTCAAAGACGAATTATATGTTCAAGATTCACAATGAACTACAAATACAATTTTCTATATTTACAAAACTTTGGCAATAAAAGCTATATATCAAGATGAACCAAGCAAGTCCTTGCTGATCGATATAAAACTGAGTACGTTTCAACTGAGAACTAGCACGTTTACTGTGGGCATTTACCCGTAACGATACAAATCCACGTGGCTTGCTATGATTCTAAACAGGTCATAAAGAGGTTAATCGCATGTAAATGAAGTCAGCCAAGAGATTCAAAATCTTAATACTTTTAATTAGAAAACACAGAGCACAGGGTTGTTCAACAAAGATATTTTCACTAAACATCTACACATATGATATACACATTATATTTCAAACTCGACTCTGAACAAACCTGTGCTCGGTGTTTACGAAAGCTTTGAAGTGTGTACCTGTCGCTGATTTCTTTTGATATTCATGAAAATCAAAGGACCCTACCATCAACGCGCAGCTTCGTATGCTGCCTATATCTATTGTTTGACATTTTTAGATGATGATTCAAATAATAAAGACATTAGTTAATAATAAAATTTAATTTTTAAAAATTTTAATAAATGTTCGAAATTTGACGAGTAACCGGGGACCACAGATAAGCTTTATTGAGACTTGTTCTTTGTTTGTGACCTAAATAACATATTACATGCATTTATCACGTGACTGTCATGACCAAACCAAATTCAGTACAGAGCGGGGTATACAATATTATTTCAAAGAATGTTAAAGTCATACGATAATATAGTACCTTTACAAAAATAAATTCAGTTTAAAAAGGTATGTATTTATGCACGTTTATATTCTGTTGATTTCTTCGAAGTACGCCTTAACAGTGCTGCGTACTTGTTTGTTATTTTTTTTTAGTGAGGCAAGGGGACTTCGGTCGGCCTATGGCCCCAGCAAGTATAAGACAGTGTCGGGATGGGGTGGGAGGGGGGCATTCCAAACTTCTTGGTTTTAGCAAATTGAATACTTTGAAAAAAATTTAAGTTTATGATAAATTCTGCCATGGAAACAGTCTACAGTAAACATGATGTGAGCGACATAGCGAATAGATTCTGCCCTTTTTTGTATGTAGTGCCATTTCACACAATCAAATGGAAGGTAACATAGGCCAGTAAGATAAAATTAACATTTCCAAGTAGTGTCAATAAAAAAAGAAAAAAAAATGTGTAGTGGGAAATGTGTAGAAAACATGCTGGAATTTACCCCCCAAAAGGGCTCTCTCAATACTGCAATCCAAGCATCATTCCATCATAACGCAGAGAGTATTGGTCAAATGATATGTTCAAAGTAGTACTTTTGTTCTAGTTTAAAAGAAAAACAGAATTTTTTGGTGAGGCATTTGCCTCACTTGCATCAATGGTTGTTACGGCCTTGAAAAGAAGAATAAATAATTAGCATGTATTTCAAAAATATGGAATACATAACAGTAAATTAGTCTTTTACACATAAAGCGTATTTATTTCTTTTTTTCTCCTATCATACATGCCCCAACACCAAATAAAGACTTCATTATCAGTGATTATCGCTCACATATTTCTTTTCGAAGAAAATATATTTCTATTCTCTATATTAAGAAAAAAATTGTCTGGGTGACATTTAAAGATGTTTTTTTTATTTTAATATTTACTTTTTTCAGTTACGTTTTAAGTTGTAATGATATCGACACTGGCAAGTGAGAAGTTAATAAATACGACTAGTATAAACAAAGATCACATCAATAATTTTTTGAAAATACATGTACGCACAGATCCCACTCACCCAGTAAACTCTTCATGGTATCACCAATAATAGATCCTGGAACAAGATAAATGGTCGAATAGTAAATTTCCTCCTTCTATCCATAACAGTGTATTTCTGTTACATCGTTATATCCATTAAAAATTGAAGATGTCGCTTTACCGTTTCACAATTTTAGTTTCTACAAATGTGGATGTGGTACACTGCGCAGTCAGATTTGGTTTAGTGATTTTCAACAGATTTCGAAATCTTGCAAACATTGGAAGGTAATGGCCCTCACTTTTAAAGACTCTGTATTAGTGCTTTAATTATTTGTCCAGTGATCCATTTCAGTAAGAGGACAAAGGATTTAATCCCAGCACGAGTAATATTGAATTGATTTTCAGTTAAAATGTACAAAATAAATAGTCTTTTTGGTCAATAATTACAGTGCGCAATTCTGGGTAGTATATGTGTCATTTCGTTGGCGCGTGTGGTTTTTCATTCAAGTTTAGAATCATAATGTATACAAACGTGTTTAATACAGAAAATTTTGAAATATCCGTGCCAGCAGCGTCTGTGTCATTCATGTATATCGACTCAATTTTTGATATAAATAAAACTCATTGGTAACTAAAAATATATCTCAATTTAAATACCCGTCGATGTTCAGCATTTGGGTTTCACTAGTTCTCATACTTTGTCAGATGTTTACATGATTTCTTCATATTTTTTTTTTTTGTTTTCTAAAGAATTAAAAAAAAAATTGGACTTACCTTAAGATGAATGTAATTGTTATTGAGTTGTTGTCATATTTGCGGTTTTTTTTTTTTAAATAATTCAAAAATTTGAGTTACCTTGATGGATGTTCATGTAATTGTGATTGAGTTGTCATATTTGTGTTGATGAAATAAAAGCAATTAGCTTGCTGTTTCAAACAAGTGTCGTATTTGCATACATGTATATCTCGACCTCTATTAGAAGTCCAACGTACAAGAGCCCTGACCATTGTAGCTGCGTTAGAAATTCGTCAACTCAATATAGTTACAAATATGGACAATATATTCTCGCTTTTGGGTCATGACCTAATCTCAAAGGCCAAGGTCAGTGTAAGTGTTGCGAGAACATTGGAATGTATCAGCACTGTACTAACTAGTTAGTTCTGTAAATATATATATATTTTTAGCTTTCTTTTTATAGCTTTATTCATATTCTACAATTTCTGTTTAATTCCCTTTTTTAAATTAGGAATGAGAAGCAAACATTCTCTTACATCCTCTCGAATATTAAGACTTTTTACCTGAGTTGGCACTGTTGTTTGGAAGTCTACACACGAAATTGGAAAAAAGGCCCTTGCTATGAACCGTAAAAATGAAAAGTCGGCAGGATCACAACTTTGGCTGTTTAAGGCGATTATCAAACGGAGCGTGGATCACGTTTCCTCAATAGGTATTGTTGACTCAGTGATTCAAAACCACGCGTGTCACGAAAAAAAAAATACTCGGAATTTAAAGTAATCGTGATGTGTAGTCAAAACATTTTCGTGTCTTTTAAAAAAGTATTTCAAATTATGAGACGATATTTAGCAGGAACCTTTATTTAGAAGCAATTCTTATTTTCCTTCTTAAGGGACTCGGAAATATGACAGTTATCATTTAAGAGTACTTTTTAAAGAATTACTTGTTTAATATGAAGGATGTCATTTATTCAGTTTTATTAATCGGGTATATAACTTTTTTTTAAATCAGTGATCACAAATTGTCCTACATGTATACATAGTTGAAAAAAAAAATGAAGACAAATTAAGCTATGGGTGTAATTTTGTTTTGAGTTTTGAAGAGGGAAAAGGCATGCCGACTTTATAGAGTAAATAAGACGTGTAAAAACGTAGTATTTGAAAGGAAGAACAACAAACTGTTTAATCCTTTTATAATCTAGTTACACAATTCTGTTTAGAAAAGACGTAGAAATAGTTTGCCTACAGCTGAATGATTTTTAGTTTATTCTTTTAGGCCTCGTGCAAAATCCAATATCACAAAGTGTCCCCTATTATTCTAATGTTGAAGGATTATCTTAGTTTGAGTGAGGTCAAAGGTCAAGGCACTATTCAGTTTTAAGAAAACTGCATCACGTGAATTAGACTATACCCTATACCAATCTTGTCACATTTTTTTAAAGGTACATGTATTTACTTTATTTTAAATTTTTCCAAAAACAGAATGTTTTCCTAGGATGCTTTTTTCTCTTGTTTAGATAACAAGTCATCACTTTTTTAAGCCATTTTAATAATTTTAAATCAAATTCGTAACCCACTAGGCAACCTTGTTTTCTCAGCACTTACAGACCTTATTTAGATAGGAAGTTGTAAATCTGGCGGTTTTATATACTGCAAGCAAGTAAACGGATCAAAGACACGACAGGATAATATCTTTTAAAGTTAATGGTTGACCTAGTTAAATTAATAAATATTTACAAATGCCAGTTACAATCTTGCTACTAAAATACAGGGTTATACCTATATAAGAAATCGTATAAATTTTAAGGCGTTCCTTTAATACCTTTTTAATAAAAAAAAAATCAAAATCGGAGATGAGATTGGAAGCCATTCTTATTTTTTCTCTTTGGTTTTTTTTTTTATTTTTTTTTTAAAGAAATAATTCGTGCACAATTTTTTGTTCTTTATGAGGACTGAAACCAAACCTTGGAACTATAGATAATTCACCTCTCATTAATAAAATAGGTGAAGGTAACTACAAATGATCGATCTAAAGAAAAAAAATCTATAAACAATAAATAGTTCTAAGTTGCCTTTCACATTCCTCAAATATCTGTTTGTAATTTTCAGAAAGGTGGGCTTCATGTACGATCTGATTTGTGTTCTTATATTAATTGCTTTAATTTCAGTTCTCAGTAATTACATGTCAATCGAAAAGACTAATTGTTGACAGGATTATTTCTATCTAAAACAAGGTCAAGGGTCAAACTGGACATTATACATATATATTACATGACTTCGAGGGCAACATACCAGAATATTTGCCCCGAGGTGACAGAAAAGCCCTGGAGTGTTATGTCGCCCGATGCCGAAGGCATCGGGCGACATAACACTCCAGGGCTTTCCTGTCACCTCGGGGGCAAATATTCTGGTATTGTTGTCCGAGAAGTCGTGTAATATATAATATATAACATTTTTAAAAAACCAAAATCGGACATATTCATTGACGACTATATATGGACCTGTGTAAATATCTAGAAAAAAAACATGCAAATTATTTTTTTAAATACATGTAGCTGATTGGTGGGTATTAATAGTTTTGATAGTAATGCTAAGGATCATTAACACTATTGTTGTTAAAATGATAACGGGGGACGGCTGAAAGTTATGAAGGCCGATTTCTCTTCCTTTATAAATAATTCCGAAATATTCCGTCTTGTTTCATTGCAGAATGTTTTCAGCACGCTGACATTTGTGTTTATAACTTTTGTTGTATTTACGGAATTTTCTCCTCAATCAAACTATCTAGTTCCTCTGAATTTAAATGAACATAAAAAAAAACGCAGACGTTGTCCAAAAATTTTCATTTTCGCGGAACTGTTTACGTGTGCTTAGTAACTGCCTCTGTGAATTTCGAACCCGACTTAATCAATATGCAGAATGACTGCACGCGAGGGAATATAACGGTGTTCGGGAGGGCAATGTAACTGTTTCCGGGGTAATGTAACTATATCCGGCGTGATTCAGCAGTTTTTCAGAGCATATGGATAAAAATATCATATTTGTGATATAATGGGAAAACTTCTTCAAAAATGTTATATAGGAAGATATTGACCACTCGATATCTTCGCCCGTTATGCAAATTATCCCACGTTTCCAACTATCGTTGATGCCCTGGCATACTCTACTAACTAGACAGTGATTCCTTATATCAATATCTTTAGAACCCTTTGATTTACGGACATCAAACTTTACATATTGGCACCCCTAAGGAGTAAGTGACCCCTATCAATTTTGTGGTCACAAAGTCAAAGGTCAAGGGTCAAACTTCTCTTGCCATAGAAATATATATACAGACTGTAGTTTAAACTTTATTTCAATTAAATAAATCATCACATGTACACAATAAATAATACATACAAGATTCGGAAACAAGTTGTTACATCTGATATTAATTCTTTTCTTTATATTAACTTTCAACTATAAATATATTATAGTTACCCTTGTTGCATGACAAATATAACAGAAACAATAATTGGAAAAAAATAAAGAATAAATAAATGAAAAAAGATGAGATAAAAATGAACAAACATTTGGAGAGATTTCATAACATATTTCATTTACATTTAAATATAACGGTTAGGAAGAAAGGAATAAATAGTGCATACATTTGTCTGCTCAATATCTTGAGAACCATTTGCTTGACAGACATCAACATTGATACACTAGTACCCTCTAAGAAGTAAATTGCCTTTAATGATGTTGAGAACTGTAAGAGATCAAACTTAGCATTGTGTTTGCCCCGGAAGAGTAGACAACCCAGTTTTAAATTCCCAGCAAACTAAGCTTGAGAATACCGGTATATAGGAATAGCCTTGTCTGTCTGTCCGTCCGTTGTCCATGCAAACGTGACCAGGTCATAAATTTGGAATTTAGAAACATTCAAAGTTGGTACATGTACTTGTCACAATACAACTGCTTTTGACCCGAGGGTGTGTCTTGGCCTTATTTCAAGGTCATTCCGGCGAGTTCAATATCACTGGCAGAAAAAGTAAAAAAAAAATCGTGTCGGGTCCTTAACTTTTAAATGCATAAACATTAGGCAGTGCCTAATTCACACAAATATTACTTATGTCCTGAAAGTATATCATGACCTTGACCCAGGATCATTCTGGTAATTTCATTATCACTGGCAAAAAAAGTATACAATTCGTGTTCAGTTGGTAACTTTCTAAAGTGATGGATAGATATTTGAAGTTGATACAAAGGCATCTAATGAGTTGTAGGTATGTTATTATATTTTTACAGGGGACGGAAATTGGTAGAAAAGGTTTAAAATTCATGTCTGGTCCATAACCTTCCAATGGAGTAACATTGGAAGTTCATGCTTCAGGCAAAGGTGTGTCACTTTCTTTATCCAAGGTCATTTTGGCAAATTCAAGGTTTCTTAGAAAAATGTATAGGCACTGTGGCTTCGCTCACAATTCCTCTAGCTTTCATTTTAGATATTCTTAATTTAAAGTTGATCTTTTTTTTTTATCATTGCCACAAGGTGGGGGGGGGGGGGATATGTTTCTAAAGCATTTCTTGTTTACCCAAGTGGTCTTAATTGACAAAAGAGTTTAATAAATACGTTACGGTAACAAAGAAGAATATGGATCATTGGTTTCGACATATTTTATTGCAATTTAGAATTACAAAGGGATTGGGCATAAATTCTGAAAACTTCTACGCCCCCTCCCTATATGAATCATTAACACTGTGTACTACAAAAGTAAGTAGTTAATTCATAAAATTATATCCTTCAATACTTCTCAAATATGCACCGTTACTTTTTACCGTCACTATATACTAAAAGAATACAGATTTAAATGTCATTTTAATGACTCAAATAACATGTTTTACATGTATGGAGGAATAATTATATTATACATTTTTGGAATGTAAAATTTAATATGGCGAATACATATTATCAATTTATTATGTATACAAAACGTTCAAGTACAAAATCACAAATATCATACTTAATAAAACATAGATAACGTATCATCTGAATGGCATTGCACAATATAGCACCATGAAATTAAAGACAATGGGATTGATATATCCAAAAGTCTATGTTTTGAACACAGTTCAAACGCTTCGGACGGTCGGGTAGTTTATCACATCAAATAATTCTTTATTCTTCGGGTTATCATGCTGGAGATCTGAAATGAGAAAAAAATGAGTTGTAAATGTTGCAATGGCAATATAGTAGTTTTGTATCACATTGTTGGATACATTTTTTTTACCCTTATAACTAAATTAGTGAAAAATCGCAGTAATCCAAGGGAAAAGTAAAAAAACGGAACTGAACCCCTACTTTGGAATTTGCTATACATCATTTTTCCCTTCGTTGAAATATATTGACACATCTTGATACCCTTTGAAATTTGTAATTAAAGCCTTTATAAACTGTTAGCTTAATTCAAAATTTGGCATTTCAGTCCATATCGATCGTCAATAACCGCATTGCATTTCAATATATTTATCTGTGATGTCCTATAAAATCAACCGAATGTTTCTCTATTGCCCGTAATCTTTTTAGACGCTACTTATCATTTTGCTTACTTGCTGGCATCAGAGTCTTGTTTTTCTAAAATAGACTTTTAATCGATAACGGAGTGCTATAAGCTGTTGCAGTAGAAGTGACAAGCCAATACAATACTTGCAAAAATGAGCCATTACAGCCTTTCGAAACAAAATCTACTATTTCAAGACATTATTTCCAATCCATTAATCGAGTCTATAGCAACACTGAACCATTATGATGAATAATTCAAATCAATGTGGATATTGTATACTATTCTGCGTATGTATTACTGGGATTTATCGAAGCTTCGCGGATTATAAAGCGTAAATTGTCCCATCCAGTTTATACCGTATAAATTTGGATAGCTATTTAATTCATTCCCTCATTCATTTAGTGTAAGAAAATAAGATGATTTCCCTTAAAAAATGACTTTAATTTGTGTAAAATTTGAATGTAACGTCAGACGGAACGATACGTTTTTGACGCAAGTCATTGTGACGTAGCCAACACAGTTTATACGATATAAAGTAATTTTTTTTATCCAATCAAACGTTACAACCAGAATCAAATTATTTTGTAACAAAAATACATTCCGGTATGACAGAACCGGATTGATAAAAAAAACAAACAAAAACAAAATAACCTATCTCATTGTAAATAAACAAAATAAAACCTACCGTCCATTCTCGACAAGTGTCGTCTGACCACCAACTCTGGTAATCAACAACTTGTGCAGGGATTGAGTCGTTGTGTAAGGCTTTACACAAATAACAGAACTGATTCCACATAGTACCACCGTGGACAATGTAATGTGTTTTATGCCACTCGAAATAACTATTATATGCAGTGTCATTTTTATCTAGAAAATCCAGATATTTTGCTAAATCATGCATACTTTTAAAATCGTATACATTGATGTAAGATTTTGGCGGAGCATCGCTTGGAACCTGTTCGGGGATCCAATTGACAATGGGAATGCTTTCCCTGAATAAAGTGTTCCAAAACTTTTCTGAAATATATCCCTTGCAATTGCTGTTTTCGAATGTGATTGTAAACTTATAAGGTTTTAACATTTCATTGCAAGTACTGTTTCTGGGACACGTGAGATTCCCACATCTCCCGTACATATCTATCGGTGTGTACTGTCTTAACTTCGTAACATAGCTAAATCTTCCTGCATCATCAACACAATTACTTATCATAGCATACGTCATCTTAGTTTTGCCTCGTGTATAATTCACATTAGCAAGTTTTTTACTATTTTTCTCAGCAGCATTTCTATGTAATGGGGCCGCATGTCCATAAGGGGCAAACACTGTTGCATCTTTCCGGAAAGACAATGTCCAGTTGAAAGCATATCGGGAATATATAAAACTTCTTCCGGTATAGTGCAAATGGGGAGGTGGTTCAGCGGAATAAACAACCCACACTTGATGAGGAGCTCGATAAGTTGGAGGAGTTTCCCACAGGTACATGTCTAAAAGGTGGAAAACCACAGCATCGACATCTTTTATGGCCGCTCTGTCAGTTGTGACGGAACACTTAAAATGACACGAGGTGTTCAGGATTTCTCTTACATGTTTGACCCAGTCATTGTCAAAATGAAATCTCGTCCACAATAGTATGCGTTTCTCTGTCCTGTTCACCGAGTATTTTTGTTCGAACACGAACACATATGGTCGAGATCCTTTGTAGGTTATCTGGTATTGAGCTGGAAGCTTTGCAGAGTAAACATAGAGGAATGACGTCATCAGAATGCTCAGACTAACGGCTAAAATCACTTTGCTGTGAAGACATGTGTACAGGACACTGAAAGCCTTCTTCTGCCAGTTTTGATGATGCATTTTCATTCCGTAATTATCTGGAATAACAATTATAAAATTGATCACTGTTCGCAGTATTTTCTCCTTTTCAAATAACACATTTTCACAGTTATAGAAAGAAATTTTGTTATGTGATAGTCTATCTAAGTCAATTACCAGATATCTTTGGGCCTGCTTATATTGCTTTTGTTTTAAAAAATCCATTTGCATGATTATTTCGTGAAATAAAACTTGATCCGTATCCAGGCTGTGCGACGGTAAACTTACATTTATGAGAAAGGGAGTAGATAATCTACTGTTAAGTCTGGAGAAAAATAAATCATCTATTTTCCGATATAGTTATATATTTAAGAAACTTTATGTTAAGTTGCATTTAGACGTACATGTTTGTCATACCTCATGCTTCACACACCGAGTTATGAATCAAATGTATAATGACAGATACGTTTGATATATAGTAAACAACACGTTTACAATATACTGTTTCGGCAAACAAAACTTACGCAAACATTATAGCTATATCAGTTTTCGATTTGCACTTACCAAAGACTGTGATAAACCTCCCTCAATTGTGTCAATTCTTGCGAAATCTCTAATTTCAAAAACACGGAGAGCTTACACTAGGGATTTTCTCTCAGCCTTGTCTAAATACAGTGAGGACATTTAAAAGCCCAGACCCGTCGAACTAGCCAAACAATACAACTTATTAATATCACTCGATAGTCAATAATGATTTAATTGGACTTCTCTGTTGTTCTCATTAATTACCTAGAGTTCACATTGGAGGACGTTTCTACATGAATGGAATTATGAAAAATGTCTCTTGTGTTGATATTTCATCATTGATCAAATGTCTGAAAAGAAAAGTAAACACGATTAACACTAATGCTAGGTTTTTTGAACCAAGGTTTAAAAAAAAATGATCGACTAAGTTCAGATTTACTCCATTTATTGAAGGTAGCTTAGGACTATTGATAAATCATTCTCGGATCCATTTAAACTTTTGACGAGGACGGAATCACAGAAGCTGTGAAGAAATGGCACCTGCTGTGGGCATTTAATCAAAGTGAACTTCATTTGAAATAATTGACATTTTGAACCATCATAGTTTAATATTAATTATTTATGGATCGATTGAATATTTGATGATTTTATTCACGAATCTGATTGAATCATTGAATTTATTAGTTGATTGATTGATTCGATGGAAGAATATTTCCTATTTATGAATTTCAGTACATGTATGTATCTTTGTTCAATCATGTATTATAATATTTTATTAATTCTGACAAGAATATACATGTAAACAAGTTAAAAATTTTAATCCTGATACATGATTGACAACGGATTCTATTCAATAGAATAAAATTGAGCTAAGTATAATGCTTTGGCGACGGTTGCGTATATATCGCATTGCTGTAAATCATTAGTGCACTAAGTTACAATGAAAAATTCTGAATTATTAATTATCATGATTAAATTTTACATCTATATGTATTCTATATATACATGTATTTTACACAGGTGAGAACTATCCCAAGCTCAGATTTTTGCTTGTGTGTGTGTGTGTGTATTCACTACATCATTGAGCTTACAGCATTCATTAAATGGTTGATAAGAAAATCAGTTATATACACTGTCAGGTATGCGCAACGACCCTATATTTAATTTTCATCGATCAAAACTTCTTATTCATGCTTCTTATTTTTGGATGATGGATGCCCATTATCAGACTTTAAACTTTTCTTTATCGAATGCAAAGCAAAGTTATTACGTCTTTGATTTTTCATGCACAAAGTAAGTCTTTCAAATGTGTGTTAAAAGTCCATAACAAATTTAATGGAACTATATAACTTACCTTGCTCAGTAAAAATCTCCAATTAAAGAAGTCTGCATTTTCGTGTGGAAAATTTCTGTAGACAAAATTGTTTTTAAAATATTATTTATGCTGTCTCAAATCAGATATTTTGAAGAAAAACAAGTCTCAGATTTTATGGTGTTTAAACCTTTAGAAGGATCTATTCATAAAACCGGATGGTTCAAGGATGTGAATGGATGTCCCGGATTCTCAATTTATAAATTCAAGGTTCGAATAGGTATAGAAATCCTATGGGCGGAGGAATATTTCCCCATATCCCAACAGAGTGATACAGAATTTTAGAGGTGATTGATGCCAAGATTTGGATCTCGACGTTTAATTCTCGCGCGTTTTTCTGACGAACACTGCATGGATGAGCATGCAATTAAAATTTAATATGAAAGCATTACACGTATTTCTATCTATTAGGCTACAATAAAAATTGCATAATAGATACGACACAGTGGTCTTTGGATACAACTGCTACAGTTGTATTTTAATCTTCCTTTATCACCTGTTTCATATTTGGATGTTTTACTGATTACAGACAACTATACTACATGAAAAACGGGATGTCTTCGGTTTTTCCATTGCCTGCTTCTCCTTATATATGTTGGAATATTCCACTATCATTTGCATATGGAATGAATGTCTCCAAACTTATTCAATACTCTAGAGAATGCTCTGAGTATGAACAACTTTTAAACAGAGACAGGATAATGACAAATAAATTGATGTTACGGGGCTTTCTACAGCCTTGATGAAAAACAGCATTTTGAAAATTCTTTAACATGATCTTGTTTGCAAATACATTGTATTTTTTTATGTAGTAAGGTTATACAATCTATAATTTTAGAAGCTTGACAACTTTTATAATTAAAATTTACAAAAAATCCATGAAGGTCATAACTTTTATAAATACGGAATCTAATGAAAATGTACGGTACCCTTGAAGCCCATTATATATTTGTTAGGAAAAATGAGATATTTGTTCTAACAAATACGGTAACTGTTCTGACAAATTTGATCTTCAATTGGACGAATACAATATTTGTGTGGAAAAGTAAGTTCTTCCTTTGGACGAATTCAATATGTTAAAAAAGGTAGATTAAATTGTATTTGTCCGGATCTGTTAGGACGAATTGGATTTTTGCTTCGAAAACTTAGTTTTTCGTTTGAGCGAATTTCATGTTTATTGGAACAGATTTGAATTTACGTCTTTGGATAAGATTTATCATTAAAGGAGAGCATCCAGAAAAATCAAAGACGGTACATGTGCAAATGGATCCAGTGCACGTTGGGGACGAGATATGGATATTTGATCAAGATTTTTTATTGACTTCATTCCTTTGCGGTTTTCTGAGGTTTATTAAGTTTTACTTGCAATTTAGGTTAAACTGCTCGCATTTCCACTTTTGTTTGCCATATACAGTGGGTAGTTAATTAATGCTTGTTCTGTTTATTTTAATGAAAATCTACCAAAAGTCATTAAAACATAACATAATTCTTCTTATTCAAATTGTAAAATTGCTTCATGTCCGAACATTACATGTATATGTATGTAAACTGTCAAAAGCATTGACCTCTAACCCCCCCCCCCCCCAAAAAAAAAAACGCGCACTGAAATGCAACTTGATTAACTGGTAGATAAACATTATAAACAAATCTCTCTCTCTCTCTGAAATATGTAAGAAGAATACATAAAAAAAAATTCTTTACAACAATGATATATTTGTCAAATTAATGTGGAAGCATTTCCTCATAGTGTAGATTGAAGTAGATTAATATTGTCATTTTATCAGAAAAGACAGATCATTTTATCGCAAGATTTTTAATGAGACCAAAGTATCATCGCTGTATCCTTGATTTAGCTCAGGTAAGCATATGGGCCCACAGGCCTCCTAATTTCTACTTCTTTTGGCTAAAAAGAAACAAAAAAAAACCATCCTTAATAAAATCTATAAGGGATCATCATTCTAGGGGGGGGGGGGATTTTTTCTTAATTCACGTAAAATATGCAGATCTCAAGGGTGATGTCACATTATACAGGCAAAAGGGTCATTTATCGATTAAAGACCGGGGGTAATTTTACTCATTTTACTCCCGCTGACCACATGCGTTAAATGTTCTCAAAAAAAAAAAATCTACAAACAATACAAATCTGCAAACAGGGAATAAAACACGGACCCTGGAAATTCCAGAGGTGGGATCAGGTGCCTAGGAAGAGTAACCATTCCATGTTGACCGGTCACACTCGCCGCAGGTTGACAGAACATTCCGCAGTCAAATTTAGTATAAAATTAAGGTCTAAGAATTGGTATGAAACAAGTAAGTCAAAATACGACCTAATGATAGGTTATATTTGCTAACAAAGTCATTATAACGACCATAGAATTTACAAAATGCTAATTTTAAACGAGGTTGTTGAAATCCCTGTAACATTAATTTATCTGTCAGTAGCCTGCCTCGGTTTAAAAATTGATCGTAGTAAAGGTATACTCTTGAGTATCGAATAAGTTTGAGAAATGAAAACACCATATGCAGGTGATTGTGGAATATTAATACATAAATAAGGAAAGTTGTTGATGGAAAAGCTAAAGTCATCTCGTTTGAAAGTTGTGAAGGAAAAGCTGAAGTACTAGTCATCCCATGACCTGTTTGATTAAGATGTTATACAGCAGTTAAACACTGACCTGTTTGATTAAGATGTTATACAGCAGTTAAACACTGACCTGTTTGATTAAGATGTTATACAGCAATCAAACACTGATCAGTTTGATTAAGATGTTACTGGAATTTAACCACTTAAGGTTAAATCTGTTTATCAAAGTGAAATAACTATCTGTGCTCTGGTCTGGTCGATAACGCATATAGTTCACTTGGCGTAAATTATGGTATTTATCGGTTCCATTCAAACTTGGGGATATTAGTAGCACCTAATACAGAACTCTGATGTTAATTTACATATTCGTCATCAGTTTGCACTGAAACTTTCACTATTATATATTTTCATAACATATTAATAATGACTTGTTTTAATATCCAATACGGAATCAGATCTTCAACATAAACTCAATCCCCTCCATGATTACTGTAGTGAGTGGTGTCTAGAAGTAAACATAAAAAAAAACCCCAAAAGTAATAATTTTTAACAACTCGGGTAGATTATTGAAGGAAGCATTCAATCTTGGTAATGGTATTATAGAATGTGTAAAACAATATAAATATCTGGCGATAATTCTTGAAATCAATGGAAAGTTTATTGAAGCAAAAAAAAAAAAAAAAAACAAAACAAAACAAAACAAAACAAAACAAAACAAAAACAAAAACAAAACAAAACAAAAAAAAAAAA